TAAAATGCCATATACTGCATACATATTGTAGGAAAAAAATGTGCATTTATCTGCTCACCAAAATATCTTATTAGCTAGCAGTAGAGCTCTTTGTGTGATGGGAAAATGGGGATAACAGGCTGTTGTTAGTGTACTGGTTTTTTTTTTTTTTTTTTAATATGAATATATAAAAAAAAGAGGGTCTCCTAAAGTGTAAGTGCTACCACGCTGGGCTAATGTTTTAATTTAATTTAATTGTTTTCTTGGTAGAGATGGGGGTCTCACTATTTTGCTCACGCTGATCTCAAACTCCTGACGTCCAGGTATACTCCCACCTTTGCCTCCTAAAATGGTGGGATCACAGACGTGAGCCACCGAGCCCGGTCACTTTTTTGTATTGCCCACAGTGTTGATGTATATCTTCTGCGTTCAAAAGCAATTTTTTAAAGCCTTATAACGTGGTAACAAAATAGTTTGCACATTACAAAATTCAGAACACGGAAACAAGAAGCTCGCCTTTTTTCCCTATTTCGGTTTGGCCCTTTCGATTTCCCCTCCCCCACCGGGGCGGGACTTCCCGCCGACTTCTTTCAGGTTCTCAGTTCGGTCCGCCAACTGTCTTATAAAGGCCCTGCCTCAGACCAGAGTCCTCACAAGGCGTTGTGTACGACTCGTCTTGCTCATCATGTCTGGCCGCGGCAAAGGCGGGAAGGGTCTTGGCAAAGGCGGCGCTAAGCGCCACCGCAAGGTGCTGCGTGACAACATCCAGGGCATCACCAAGCCGGCCATCCGGCGCCTTGCTCGCCGCGGCGGCGTGAAGCGCATCTCTGGCCTCATCTACGAGGAGACCCGTGGGGTGCTGAAAGTCTTCCTGGAGAACGTGATCCGGGACGCTGTGACCTACACGGAGCACGCCAAGCGCAAGACGGTCACCGCCATGGATGTGGTTTACGCGCTGAAGCGCCAGGGTCGCACCCTCTACGGTTTCGGTGGCTGAGCGTCGTCATTTTCTATCAATAAAAGGCCCTTTTCAGGGCCCCCCTACTTTCTCAGCTGAGGAGTGGTAACACTGGATTTGGTAGGGCTGAATTTTGCTTGCTTCTAAGTCAGTTTTGGGGCGAGCAGTTTTCTGAAGACAGCGGCACACGTGGTCATTCACCCGCGGTCACCGTTGGTAGAACTAATTACGAGTTGTAATGCAGTCTAAATTTGCTCAAAATTCATGACCTTGTTTACGTAATGGGGAATGTGCAGTACCAGTAACTCTTGTAGTCCCTGTAGTGAGCTTGACAATGGTCATCGGAAATGGTTTTTGAAAAACCCCTAAATCCACAAGTTTTTTTTTTTTTTTTTTTTTTGTCAGCGAGTTGGAGTGCAGTGGCGCGATCTCGGCTCACTGCAACTTCCGCCTCCTGGGTGCAAGCAATTCTGCCTCAGCCTGCCGAGTAGCTGGGATTACAGGTATGCGCCACCACACCCAGCTAATTTTTGTGTTTTTAGTAGAGATGGTGTTTCACCATGTTGGCTAGGATGGTCTCTATCTCCTGACCTCGTGATCCGCCCGCCTCGGCCTCCTAACGTGCGGCCTCTTAAGGGATTTTAAGAGAATTTTTTACTTTTCTCCACTTTCATTAACGTATGACAAATTACAACATGTACAATCTGATCTGACATACATTCATTGTGGAATGATTACATCGAGCTTAACATCCATCTCACTTTCTGGTGAGAACATTTAAAGCTTACTATCAGCAATTTTCAAGTATAAAGTACATTAACTATTGTCACCATGCTTTAAAATAGATCTCCAGAATTTATATCTCTTGAGTCCCATTATACCTCCATCCTCATTCTCTGGCAGGGACCATTTTACTGAGTTCAACATTTTTAGACTCCTCATGTAAGTGATATCATGCTGTTTTTGTTTTTCTGTGCCTGGTTTGTTTTACTTAGCATAATGTTGTAAGAAATGACAAGATTCATTTTTTTAAGGCTGAGTAGTATTCCATTGTATATATGCCCCATTTTCTGTATCCATTCATCTGGCATTGGATACTTGATTTATTGAAAGAGCTTTATAAGTTTAAATTCATAAATGAAATCCAGTGAGTAAAGTTTTTTTTTTGTTTTTTTTTTTTTGGTGAGGTTCAGTCACTCGTTATGATCATGAAAATGATGGATGTGTAATTGGTGATATCAAAAGATCTGGAAGGACAATAATAGTGGCATTGATTCAGTTAAAGCAAAAGTACAAAACTTTGTAGTCCAAGTAATTACCATAGGGGAATTTAAATTATACTTTTTTTTTAACTTGAAGTTTTGTTAAGGGAAAAATATTGTATTTTACATGAAAAACAGTTTTAAATCCCAAAAATTTGTCAGATCTGGAATTGCTACATGGGCCTAAATAAATTTTTTGGATATAAATGATAACGTTTCTCTTTAAGATGTAAAAAATAATATATATATTTTAACTATGTATATCTGTGTGTGTGTGTATGTATATATATATTTTTTTTTTTGAGACAGAGCGTTACTCTGTCACCCAGGCTGGAGAGCAATGGCAGGATCTCCGCTCATTGCAACCTCTGCCTCCTGGGTTCAAGCGGTTCTGGTGCCTCAGTCTCCGGAGTAGCTGAGATTATACATGCAAGCCACCATGCCCAGCTAATTTTTGTGTATTTTTAGTAGAGAAGGGGTCTCAGGATGTTGTTCAGGCTGGTCTCGAACTCCTGGTCTTAAGCAATCTGACTGTCTCATCCTCCCAAAGTGTTAGGATTATAGGCATGAGCCATCGCGCTGGGCCAAAAATACATTTTTAAAGTTAAGACGTAAACGTTTTATAACTTTACACCACCAAAGTGATGTGACATGGTGAAAAATTTAAGCACAGTCATAAGAAGCAGATTATTTGCAATCAAATCTGTAACAATCATATTCTAGTCGTGGGATCTTGGGGTGAGGTGCATATGCTCTCTAAGCCTCTGTATTTTTGTAAACAATTATGTGATGATGATAAAAATAGTTCCTAGCTCTAAGGGTTGTTGTAAGGATTAAATAAGTTGGGCCAGGTGGCTCATGCCTGTAATCTTCACTTTTAAGGAGGTAGATGTGGGAGGACAGCTTGAGCCCAGGAGTTGGAGACCTGCCTAAGCCATGTAGTGAAACCCTGTTTACCACAAAAAGTTTTAAAAAAAAAAAGAAAAAAGACAAAGAATAAGTGTAAATGAATTGGTAAATAAAAAGCACTTAGGACACTGACAATAGTATGTTTAGTGTGAAACACTTAGCATTACTCATTTATGCCAGGCCCATAACCCGTAATTGCATCTGACCATCATCCCTGGGTAAGAGCAATCTTTTTTTGTGTGTGTGTGACACTCTTGTCACCCAGTCTGGAGGGCAGAGGCGTGATCTCGGTTTACTGGAACCTCTGAGTCCCAGGTTTAAGCGATTCTCAGCCTCAGCCTCTCGCGTAGCTGGGATTACAAGCGTGTGCCACCACGCCTGGCTAATTTTTTGTATTTTTAGTAGAGATGGGGTTTCACCATGTAGGCCAGAATGGTCTCCAACTCCTGGCCTAAATCTATCTGCCAGCCTTGGCCTCCAAAATTGCTGGGATTACAGGCATGACACCAGGCCCAGACAGCAACATTTTCTAACAGCCACATTTTAGTATTCTAGATTCAGCCAGCAATTGTGTAATCAAATCTTTGTCTATTATGAAGCCATAGGAAAGACCTGTGTCAAGGGCATTTTTTCACACAGTTTTTGCCAGTGGAGACATCTTCATTATTCCTATAGTATCCTATCTTTTTAAAGTTTGTACTCATACTTTGTGTGGTAAATGAAAGGCAAGATCCTTCCCTATCCTTATGAGGATGACTACAGCATGACTGGATAGGCTTGCTATGATTTTTATCTTTCCCTGTGTTCTCACTACCGTTTTATTAATCTCAGTTCTTTTTTACAGGGTAGCACAGAATTTAGCAGAAAGAGATCCAGCCATGTAGACCAGAGATTTGTCTAAGTGACAGCATGTAAGAATCAGGAAGGAAAATTTTCTGTTTAAATACTAACAGTTTCTTTCCTTAATGCAATTATTATTTTTTAAATCTAACCTACAAGGTGATGGTGTCCTTAAACCAATTAAATCAGAATCTCGGGTTGGATAACCTCAAATATGACTTATTAGCACTTCCCATTAATCACTGCTCCTTCAGGCCTTTAAATTTACTTAGGAATCTCACTTTTAATACCATCTTATCAACTTCAATTGTAAAGAGAACAAAGGCTGAGGAATTCTCAGCGGTAAAGCTCTGACCCACGTTCAGTAACAAAGGGTAAGTTAGTCTTTGTTGTGATCATTCTTTGTTGTATTGAGTAGCTACATATTTCTACTCAAGGATTCAAATTCTCACTTTTCTCAAGAATTGGGCCAAAACCGATAAACTAAACTTATTTACGGTTCACGGATTAAAGGTTGTTGCATAAGAAGGTCTTGTGTTCAGCAGTTGGATTTACAGTGCCAGAAACATGTAACAACTGCTTGACTTTCTTCCCCAGCTATACTTCGAAAATTGGCACTTAAATATAACTAACTTTAAAACCTCAACAAGAGTATCGTGGCCATGTGTGATGGCTCACTCCTGTAATGCCAACACTAGGTATAGGCGAGACAGTTATTTTGAGGCCAGGATATTGAAATTAGCCTGGGAAACATACGCAGACCTGGTCTTTGGAAAAACAGCGTTGCGTGGTGGCGCGCGCGAGGTTCCAGCTAATCGGGAGGCTACAGTGAGCCATGACACTGCACTACGGTCTGCGCGACACCCCATGTCAGTAAGCCCTGGAACACCTGAAAGAAGCTGTGTTAGAGTATTGTATTTACTGGTACTGGAAAGCGATTAGTGACTGATACCTACTTACAGCGACTAGGGAGGGACGCATGCTCCGATAGGGCAAACTCAGCAGGTGCGAACAGTAAAGAGAATCTGGGCAAACAAGCATCACGGCTCCTCAACTGAGAAAGTGGGGGCCCTGAAAAGGGCCTTTTCTTGGTAGACTAGGACGCTTAACCGCCGAAACCGTAGAGGGTGCGTCCCTGGCGCTTCAGCGCGTAAACCACATCCATGGCGGTGACCGTCTTGCGCTTGGCGTGCTCCGTGTAGGTCACAGCGTCCCGGATCACGTTCTCCAGGAAGACTTTCAGCACCCCACGGGTCTCCTCGTAGATGAGGCCAGAGATGCGCTTCACGCCGCCGCGGCGAGCAAGGCGCCGGATGGCCGGCTTGGTGATGCCCTGGATGTTGTCACGCAGCACCTTGCGGTGGCGCTTAGCGCCGCCTTTGCCAAGACCCTTCCCGCCTTTGCCGCGGCCAGACATGATGAGCAAGACGAGTCGTACACAACGCCTTGTGAGGACTCTGGTCTGAGGCAGGGCCTTTATAAGACAGTTGGCGGACCGAACTGAGAACCTGAAAGAAGTCGGCGGGAAGTCCCGCCCCGGTGGGGGAGGGGAAATCGAAAGGGCCAAACCGAAATAGGGAAAAAAGGCGAGCTTCTTGTTTCCGTGTTCTGAATTTTGTAATGTGCAAACTATTTTGTTACCACGTTATAAGGCTTTAAAAAATTGCTTTTGAACGCAGAAGATATACATCAATACTGTGGGGAATACAAGAAACGACAAGAAATTAAGAAGGTACAACCTGTTATCCCATCACACAGAGATCACTAGTGCTAGTTTATAACGTATTTTGCAAAGCAGTTGCATATATTTTTCCAAGAAAATGTATACAGTGTTGTATATGGCGTTTTGTAACCTCCTTATATTGATTACAGTTTAATCAATTTCCATTAAAGAGATAAAATAGTGTCTTTCTTAGGAATTATCAATACAGTTTTAATCAGTTCCCCAGCAATTTTTTAATCCGCTGTATTTTAAGAATAATGTTTTCAACATTCAAAATAAATTTATTTTTTCTCTATGCTTGGGACCAATATTGAAATTTGTATGATTTATTACACCAAACTTTAAATTTTTATTACATTAATATTTAAAACTGAATTAGAGGTCTCATGATTTGGTACTGCTGGTCTCCTCATTATTTCCTTTCCAAATTTCCTAATCTGTTTCACCAAGGTTTCTTGGCAACTTTGGAGACCTTTTGTGAAGTTTGAATAAAAATCTCTTTGAGATTTTGATAATAATTGCGTTAGCGTTAAGACTTATTTGGAATAGAATTAATATCCTTAAAACAAGTTCTTATAAGTAGAAAATTGGTGTTTGTAGGTTTTGTGTGTGGGGCGGGTGCTTTTTTTGGGAGGGGGATGGAGTCTGGCTCTGTCGTCAGGCTGGAGAGGAGTGGCGCGATCTAGGTTCACTGCAACCTCCGTCTCCCAGATTCAAGCAATTCTCATGCCTCGACCTCCCGAGTAGCGCGGCACAGGCATGCGCCACCACGCCCAGCTAATTTTTTTGTATTTTTAGTAGAGACCAGGTTTCACCATGTTGGACAGGATGGTCTTGATCTCTTGACATCGTGATCCGACCGCCTCAGCCTCAGAAAGTGTTGGGATTACAGGCGTGAGCCACCGCGCTTGGACGCTTGTAGGTTTTAAAAAAGACACTTTTACATGACCCAACTAAAGATTTGTTATCAACCATTATGGAACAACTTTGTTTCCGTATATTTAATTTTCTTTCTTAGTAAATACAGGGTTATACTCTGAAATTTTTATTTTTTTTGTAACAGAGTCTTGTCCTTTCACTCAGGCTGGAGTGCAATGGCCCAATCTCAGCTCACTGCAACCTCCACCTCCAGGGTTCAAGTGATTCTCCCACCTTAGTCTCCCGAGTAGCTGGGATTACAGGCACTCACCACCACGCCCAGCTAATTTTTTTGTATATTTGTGGAGACAGGGTTTCACCATGTTGGTCAGGCTAGTCTCTAACTCCTGATCTCGTGATCCACATACCTTGGCCTCCCAAAGTGCTGGGATTACAGGTGTGAGGTCACTGCGCCCGGCCACTCTGAAATTATTTTAACACCTTTGAAAATTATAAAACTCCTATAACTATTCTAATATAATCTCTTAGTATTCAATTCTTTGTTTACAAAGTAGTTAAGAGCTGAAACTCTGGAATTAGAAAACTTTGGTTTTAGATTAAATGTTTACCTATCAGACTCAAGCTGACTTGTTACCGATCAGACACGAAGTGACTTGTTTATTCTCTTTAAATCTTTGCTCATCTACAAAGTTAGATCAGCATAGTGATGGTACTGTTGGGGTGCAGAATGATTCCCCAAAATGTGGTTCTTGGGCATGCTGAGTGCTTTTGAACACTGAAAGGCCTCAGAAATAAGCTTCAGAATCAAAGCCCCTCTAACCGCGTCTTGTTTCTCTTTCCTATACATGCGAAGGAACTCTGACATTTCCTAATCGGACCAAGAAAATTTCTTAACAAAAGAAACAGAATTGCCTTCTATCCCCTCCCTAGTTATTTCATTATTGCAGAAAAGAAGACTGGATATGGATTTTTCAAGATAATGCCTTCCTCTCTGTCTCATTTAAATTACCAAGACGTACTAGATGCCATGGCTCCTCCCCATAATCCCAGCACTGTAGGAGGTCAAGGCAGGTGGATCCCTTGAGCTCAGGAGTTCGAAACCAGCCTGGCCAACATGGTGAATCCCCCGTCTCTACAAAATTTACAAAAAATTAGCCAGGTGGTGGCGCATGCCTGTAATCCCAGCTACTTGGGAGGCTGAGGCAGGAGAATCACTCAAACCTGGAAGGCGGAGGTTGCAGTGAGCCAAGATTGCACCATTGCACTCCAGCCTGAGTAACAAGAGTGAAACTCCGTCTAAAAAAAAAAAAAATTAGCCAGGTGTACTGGTGCACACCTGTGTTCGCAGCTACTAAGGAGGCTGAGGTAGGAGGATCACTTGAATCCCAGAGGTAGAGGTTGCAGTGAGTGGAGACTGTGCCACTGCACTCCAGCCTGGGTGATGGAGTAAGACTCCATCTCAAAATAAATACATAAATTACGAAGACAATTATTTACAAGCTAATTTATTTCTGTGGTCCATTTATTCTCTATAACAATCTTTTATTGCCCCTCAAAGGAATTGTCTACTTTTCCCATCTCCTCCTTCCCCTATGAAAAAAGTTACATAACCTGTACCCCTTTGGGGACTGGGGTAATCACTTTGTAATTCTCCCTCGTGCACATTATTAAATTTCTCCCATTATCCTGCCTTTTGTCAGTTGGTTATCTGTGAAACTTCCCTTAGCCCCTACAGTATTTACCTCTTTGAGCTACTATAAGAATTAATAGAGGCCAGGCTCAGTGACCTGCCTGTAGTCCCAGCTACTCTGGAGGCTGATGTGGGAGGATTGCATGAGTCCAGGAGTGGGATGATTGTGCAAACTCAGGAGTCACAGATTAGCCTGGGCAACATCACAAGACCTTCATCTAAAAAAAAAAATTAATTAAAAAAAAAAATGGAGATAATGTACATAAAATATCAAGCAGAAAGCCAACCTCTATTTAATATAATTTTTTCTTTTTAACTAATTTACAAATATTTTGTTATATTATACTTTAAATACATTAATACATCATAAATTAATCTAATTATGTATAACACATTAAGTAGTTAATTTAAATAACAAATATTTATTTTTAGCGCTTATTGTCAATGTCGGGGCTCAGAAACCAATACCCCAAACTATGGCATGGTGACTAGCTGAACTGCAGAAGCCTCAAAGTCTCTTAGACCTTCTCCCCATCCCCAACCTTTATCTGCCTATTATCCAGACTCACCAAAAATGAATCCCTGTAAGATGAATGTAATCACACCTGAAGAGCTCATTTCACAAGATAAGGTAGAAATTTAATTTCTTTTCCCTGATCCATTCATTCTTCCTAGTAATCCTCTCAAATGAATTCCTCTTCTCTCTCCCTCAAACTGTTTTTCTAGGATGGTGTATAAACTTCTGAACCACATTCTGGGGTGGGCAATCACTCTGATTCTCCCCATGCACATTGTAAATTTGTCTGCTTTTTTTTCTATTAATCTGCCTCATGTCCGATTTTTCAACGAACCTTCAGAGGGCACCAAATCAGTAAGGACATTAATTTAATTCAATATTTCACAGATGATATGATACCATAAAGTGATAAGGCACTATAAATCTTCCTAATTGCTCTTTGCCCCTTGGATCCCTCTGATCTTAAGGTTGCCTCCTCTAGTTTACTTACTTTGAAGCTACACATTTAACAGCTCCTCCATTTTTCTTTACATGTGTATGTAGAATTATAAACAATGATATATCACACTTGTATATTTTATTTTACTTAATACATAAGTTTGCATTTGTCAGTGTTTTGATTATGAGTACATTGAGTTTGCGTAAATAACACCAAAAATTATAATAATTATAAAGCAAAAGTTACTTTACAAACTGTTTAGCTTAAAGAATTTTACTTCTGGAACTCAGGAACTCTGAAAATTATTACTTAGCTAGCTTTCATGATTAGATAGTGGTTCTTGGGAGAAATAGAAACAATGGAATAATTTTATCATCAACTTCAATGATCATGACAGCATATTTTATTTAAAAACTTATTTTAATTTCAAAAATCTTATAGGCCTTCTATGGAGCCATATCATTTACTTTATATTGATGGTTGTAACAGAAACAATTATTGAAAATTTATACACACAAATAACGCAGATGACATTTTAAAACGGAACGAATGAATTAATTCATTGAAATCAGGATGGAGTCCTCAACATCAAATAATCGTAACTTTTTTTAAAAAAGTAATATTTATGACAGTTGTGTTTGCTGTTTTATTCCAAGAAATATTAGTTGTATGCGATTGCAATTAAGACAAATCTAGTAAATAAAAATGTGTGCAGAGACTCAAAAATTAATGTATTTCAATGGACTAGAGATCCTGTAGAAATTCGTTTTCATTAACATGTCTTTATGAGGAACACAGTAGCTTATATAAGTTTAGGTGGAGAGGAATAGAAGGCCCTCTCTAGCTAGGAGGACTTGGTGATCTGAGGAGGAAGGGAGTGATCTTGATGAGAGAAAGGAAGCAGGAAAAACTGACAGGAACAGGGCTATATGATTATGATATAATAAAAAACCTGACTTACAATGTCCATCATTCATACTGTTTTTAAGTAACACGTTCTAACGTAATCTCACACCCTAACCCCAACCCTTTCCCATCATTTACATAAACAGTCCATTATGACATGTATTCTTTGCCCAAGTCAACTTGAAGCTCCTTTTGGATATAGACGTTATGTATCTGGATTAATATTGTATTCCCATTTAGGAGGGTGCCTGGCACACCATAGGTGCTGGGAAAGATTCAATTGAACTGGAA